ATTGGGGTGACATTGAAGTCCCCAGTGACTGAAGACTCACAACAAAGCTTGGGACGGTTTGAACTTTTGCTCAGGGTCTGGAGACCCAAGCAGAGGAGTGAGGTCCATTTCCTTGGCTTCCTGGCTCTGGGGGTCTCTCTCAGTCTTTGTTGTTTGTTTGTTGATTGCTTCTTTCTTCTCTTTTGTTTCCCTCCAACCTGAGCCCTGGAATGCCAGCCTGCTTATATATTCTCTGTGGCTGCTTCCCTGCCTCAGTGGTGGAGTAGAACTGTAACGCAGATGGTATGACCCCAAAAGCTCCCAAGTTGTTATTGTCTGACTCCTAGAGCAGATCTTGCCAGATTCAGCACTAGGAAGTCTATGAGGGCTGTTTGTCCTTTCATAAGCATTCACCCACAAGTTGACAGGGAGCTTCTAGAGACCCAAGAGAGACCCTGGTTACCTCCTCCCTCCATCCTATCACAGCCAGCCTATATCTGGGCACTGTCACAGCATTGCCTTGGTTCCCGAGGCTGGAAAACTGTCTTGTTTTTTTGTTTTTTTTTTTTTTTTTTGTTTTTTGTTTTTAATGTGAATGTGTTCACTGGGAACCGTGACTCCATGTCCCCTTTACAGGACATTTGGGTCATTTGTGGTCTGTTAGCATATCAGAGAATATCTGGCTGACTTCTAAGACCACAGACTTCTAGCCTCATCTCCTCTCTCTTAGCCCAGTGTCACTTTCTGAATAATATGTTTGGAGTTGAGACAAAAACATCTGCCAGACCTAATTGAAACTTTCATACATCTCTCCAAGAGGTTCCTTTGGAGACAAAAGCCTTCTTTATCGGGCCTCGGTCCCCTCTGGGGACAGGACATTGTTTTCCTTGCAGTTTGGAGCCAGCGTGTTATCCATACGGCTTTACCTCTGTCTGAAACAAGGTGTACATGCGAATCAGAGGCAGTCATTACCTCCAGCCTTGTTTTTATTGCTGCCTTGTTTTGTCTAGACCAAGCCATCACTGCAAGGCATCTGGCTGGTGTCTGCCAGGAAGGGGTGTGTGTGTGTGTGTGTGTGTGTGTGTGTGTGTGTGTGTGTGTGTGTGTGTGTGTACTAGAGGGTTGGGTGGCACCTGCCTATCCCTGAGGAATCTTAGTCTTCTAGCTGGCTTTGGGTTTTCTGCCTTCTTACCCAAGCCTAAAATGGGTATGTGGTTGTTCTTTGGACTGAGCATATTTCTTAGATAATTTCCTGAAAAGGGAATTGACATGGTTGCTTAGGCCATTGCACTGGGAACCTTGGTCTGAGGCTCTGTCTTGGGGGAGCAACATGGAATACAAATTTGGGTGCTTCCAAAAGTAGGAAGCTGGCAATTCTCCCAAGAGCTAGCCTGTACAGTGTACACAGACCTACATTATGAGGGTGACATGATGCTGATGGTGGTGGCGGTGGTGGTGATGGTGATGATTTGTAGTGCCTTCCATTTGTTTGGGGCAATGTTTTTCTGCCCTGGTTGCATATTATAATAGAATCTCTTTGGAGTTTGAAAAAGTACCTGTAATAGAACTCCACCTCTAACCAATTATTTTAGACTCTAATGATGATGCCCGACATTGGCAATCTTTACAAGTTCCTCAGAATATTCTTAACCAGGGCTGAATATGCTTCCCAGCCTGTGATTACAGTAGCTGTGGCTTTAATCCCTGTAACAATGCAGGAAGTTCAGAATCAATATTTCTCTCCTTTTTGTTTGTTTATTTGTTTTTTGAGACAGGGCTTCTTTGTGTACTTTGGAGCCTGTCCTGGAGCTGGCTTTGTAGACCAGGTTGGCCTCAAACTCACAGAGATCTACCTCTCTCTGCCTCTGCCTCCTGAATGCTGAGATTAAAGGCGTGTGCCACCACTGCATGGCTCAGTATGCTCTCTTTTGTCCCAGAATTGAGTCCTCAATGATGGGCTCAGAGCAGAGCTATTTAAGCCAGGCCTCAAACCTGGACCTCCTGACCTCCTGCCTCCCAGATGCCTCCCCCAGTAGCCAGGGAGAACATTCACTGCCTGGACCTCAGTGTTTCTGCACACACTTAGCCATGTCCACTGTTCACAACAAACCTCTACCTTCTCACAGTCCAGATCCAGGTACACCCTTTCTCCACTCCAAGATATTCTAACCTGCTTCACACCACATGAATGCTTCCCCACCTCTTCCCCCTTGGGACTGAACCTGGGGCTGTGTGCACACTGGCCAAGTGTTCTAATCCTTTTTCTATTTTGAGATAGGGTCTCACTAAGTTGCCTAGGCTGGTCTTGAACTCATTTTGTAGCTCAGGCTAGCCTTGAACTTTATTTATTTTGGGAGGAAGTAGTTTTTTCAAGACAGGGTTTCTCTGTGTAGACCTAGTCATCCTGGAACTCATTCTGTAGACCAGGCTGGTCTCGAACTCAGAGATCGCCTGCCTTTGTCTTTTGAATGCTGGAATTACAGGTATGTACCACTGCCTGGCTGGTCTTGGATTTTTTTTGAGGGGGGCTTTTTGAGACAGGGTTTCTCTGTATTGCTTTGGAGCCTGTCCTGGAACTCACTCTGTAGACCAGGTTCACCTTGAACCCACAGAGATCCACCTGCCTCTGCCTCCTGAGTGCTGGGTTTAAAGGCCTGCACTACCAACAGCCAGCCTGCTTTAGCCTTCTTAAATAGCTGGGATTTATAATCTTGAACCACCAAGCGCAACATACCTGTTTCTCTTCAGTCAACTTTTGGTTCAAAACCAAAACCAACCCTACTTACCTTCAGTGGTCTAATTCTGAAACTGACTAGACTGACCAGAAACCACTGTCCTGAGCAACCTCCCTGATAAAACCCTAGAATGCATTGCATTGGGCAGCTTTCATGCACTGGGGCAATCTGGGGAGTGAGACAGTCACATTCTGTCACAGGGACTGGAGTCAAGTGGGTGACAGGATGGCAAGTGAGGAAGGGTCTGTCAGCTTGGCCAGGTATAGTGGAAGGGTGTGTAGTCTTCACTTCATTTTCATGCCTGTGATGTTGTCAGCTTGGGTAACGACTGCAGAAGTAGCCACATCCAATTTTTCTAGTCTCAGTTGCTCTGACTAGACTAGTCAGGGGCTACTATAGTGCCTGGGCAAAGGACAGCAGGGTTTCCTTTTTTGGTGGAAGCAGTCTATGGGACCTCCTCGGTGTCATTGGGGATGCTGAAGCGACCCATGGCACAGGGTGAACTTCAGCACTTGGGGCTGGGTTTTGAGAAAGAAAGAATGCTAGAGAAATCTGTGTGGTGCTTGGTCTTGGTCATGCTGAGCTGGGTTTGAACTCTGACCCCACTATTTAGCAACAATATGGCCTTGAATAAGTGGCTTAGAGTCTCTCAGACTGTTTTTACCTCTGAGATGAAGATAATGTGGTACTTACCTCCAAGGGAGAATTAACCTGGTAATCTAGGCAAGACATTAACATGGTGTCGGGCATTCTGTAAGTGGTAGCTATTAATGACTGTCATCATTTTACCTATGAAGTCAGGGTACAAAGTTGTGAGATGTTCTTGTGGATACAGAACATCTGAGGATGGGGTTTCAACTGGTCCTGGATGCTGGAAATGGGAGGGGCTCCCCTTTATACCTCTCTTACTTTCTAGGAGCTGTCCTAGAGAAGCGTCAAAGCCAGCTGTAGTCATCCTGGCAGGAGGGAAGATATTCTAGACAGACACATTGGCTATCAGACCATTGAAACAATAGTCCCCCAGAAACTGGATTTGTCCCAGGGATCTCATACTGAGAGGAGGAGAGGGCTGTTGACTCCCAGGAAGGGTCTTTATGCAGTATGATAACCCATCAGAGCACCTTGCAGGACAGACTGAAGATGAGCAGGAGGAGCAGGACTACATCCTGACTCATGCCACTTAGCTATGTTCCTCTTGTTCTCTATTTAAACCTCAACCTTGGGTTCTGACTCTGAAGATAGGCTTGGAGAGTCAATGAGCCTCTGTGTCCCTTTTCTTAATATGGTCACATTGAATAAATCTCTCTTTTCTATTTTCCTCTGTTACTGTTTAATTGGCCTACTGCAGATGAGTGCAGAGCCTAGATAGTTCCAGTAACATGGTAGCTGAGGGGCCTGATCTATTGTTCTTTGATGTTTTATCTTGTTGGATTTGAAATAGACTGTCCTGCAGCTCACAGAGTTCTGCAACATGGTCCCAACATAAATTAAGAGACAAAGGGAAACATCTGAGCTGGCAGCACTGAAGATTTCCTGCAGACACATCTGTGAGCCCAGGTAGATAGAGGTGTTCAATGGCAGAGATAGACACAGTGGGTCTGCCTAAGCAAGCTGCAAGTGAAGGCAAAGGAACAGGGTCAAAGATAGTGAGAGGAGTTCTGCTGCAAAGTCTGACTCAGGGCTTCAATCCCATGCACTGACGATAGACCGATAGACTCTCTAGTAAACAGAGGTGAAGATTTAGCCTTCTCAACTTGACCTTGATCTGATAGGCATATAGGCTCATCATGAACTTCCTTGGAAAGTGACTAAAGCAGACACAATATACTTGTAGTGATCGCTCTTGATCTACTGGTGTGTAAATCTCCAAGAAATGTGTCCTGAGCCAGTACCCTGGGGAATAATTGGTAGGTGACTCAGAGGCCCCAGGAGGCCAAGGTGAACATCCTGCAGATATGTGCTCTGGAGGACTACAGGGTGAATGTGAGAGACTCAGCCTCACATGTGTCCTGGAAGTCATTTGGGATGTGGCTTCTTCCTCCCAGGGCCCCTGAGAATGAAGTATTCAGGACTCTAGGAAGGGAACAGATCTGACACATAGGCCAGGGACTGGTAAGATCAGCTTGAGTTTTGGTAATGTGGATTTGTCTAGAGAAGCCCACCTGGGACATGACCTTGGCATCAAGCTTTAACCCAGAAGTCTATAGATTTTGTCCTTGATTCTGACTCTGTTTGTCCTATTCTGCTGTTTCTTGGCTCAGTGTCATGTCTTTCTCCTTGTTTCAGAAGTTCCGGGTAGATATGCCTGGCTCAGGCAGCGCCTTCATCCCCACCATCAACGCAATCACCACCAGCCAGGACCTGCAGTGGATGGTCCAGCCCACAGTGATTACCTCCATGTCCAACCCTTATCCACGCTCACACCCCTACAGCCCCCTGCCAGGGCTGGCTTCAGTCCCTGGGCACATGGCTCTCCCCAGGCCCGGTGTGATCAAGACCATCGGTACCACTGTGGGCCGCAGGAGGAGAGATGAGCAGGTATGCCTCTCGCGAGTGGAGAAGAGCTACATTGGTAGCTGGGGGAGGGAGGGGCTCATGAACACGGATGCTAAGTTGGTGCTTGAGGGAGTTCTTGAGTTGAGGAACACCTTGTAAGTGTAAAGTATCAGTGAATGCGAACTGTCATGGCCTCCTGCAGTAGTATACTGCCTGGCCTTAGTGCGGAGCCATTGGATGAGTGCCATAGGATCAAGGCACCCATGTGACTTTGCATTCTTCCTCAGTATCTTCAGGCCTTTAGATCATAGCTGCAGCCCATTTCCGGTTCCTGGAATATGTCCCAGAAGTACAGTGACCTGGGCCCGAGGAGTCTGTTCAGCTCTGGGGACAGATCGAGGTCACACATCATGTTTTGCTTGTTCTTCCTTCTCAAGGGGCTCAGTTTTGAGAGACAACTGACTTGGAAGGAAGGACCCAGGCTTCCAAAGATCTCATCTGTCTCCCACCACAAACTCAAGGCCCAGACCCGCTTGCCTGGACTCCATGCACAGTGCCCTTCCCCCAAGGCCATGCCACTGTAAACCCAGAGAAGGAAACCCTTAGTAGTGCATTTTCCTTTTCAAATGATATGTGAATCTAGCAAAGCCTTCCTGTTAACTGGGGGAGCCTTTGCTCCAACCCCCATCTGTTTCTACTCCAAGTTCCTCAGGGTTCACCATATCCTAGTACCAGTGCCTTTAATATGACATTGTGATGGACCCAGAACCAGTAGTCCCAAGAGGGCTTAGAGTTACAAGACTCCCACTCCATGGAGCTGGAAGCTTCCTCAGGAACTGTGCTCTTCTGAAGACAAAGTCGGACCTCGTGGCAAATAGATGTTAACATTGGGACTATAGTGCAGGGCCCTTGGGGGTTACGTGTAGTAGACACTGGGGTACAGTTGCATGTGTAGGGGAAGCTACTGACCCCTCTTGGGGCTTCCCATAGTCACAGGTATTGTAGTAGTGACCACACTGTCCTTTGTGATTGTGCCTGTATCCATACTGCAAAGTTTCATAGTCATTGATAAGCGAGATTGTTCCAGGATATAAATGATGCTGGGTGGCAGCCAGACTCCTGTGGGCTGGTAGACATTGCAGCATGATGTGTCCCACAGTCTTTCTCTGCTGGGCCTACATTCAGAAGTTTACACCTAGAAGGGACTTTAGGAGGGTACCTCTGAATTTCTCCCCTAAACCTAGCTCATAGATGAGGCCTAGTAGGAAGGGCCCTGCCCAGAGTCACACCTAGTTAGTAGTAGATCCACCACTTTGACCTTCAGTTGGATGTTTTTGATGCCATACTACCTAGGTATGCTTCAAGACTAGCTGTCTGGAGACATCCTTCCTTTTGTGGTATAGAGGGAGAGAGCTCAGGGGACCACTAACCACTCACACCATCTTTGTGGCAGCCACATTCTTGACTCTTGGGTTCCTGGCTCTAGTGTTTTCTCTATGACTTCTTTCCAGCTCTCCCTCTCCACCCCAAGGCTTGTCCCAGGAGTCAGCTTGGTGTCTTGTGACCTCCTACAGAGCCTGCCCAGGAGGCTCCTCTGAGCCCAGGGTGGGGACTGAAGAGAACGGAGGAGAGGGTGTATGTGGCTTGTGGGTGGGTCCTTGGTGATGTTAACAACACTCAAGCTGTAACCACGTTGATCTCACCACCCCAGAGCATTTCCTATGTCGACAGTACCCACAGTTGCCCCACACCTCCCCAGACAGGGAGAGGCTTCTAAGAGTAGAAGTCACCAAGGTAGGGAGAAGGCTCGTTTTGAACCAAGCTTAGCTTTTTATTTCTCCCTCAGCAGTAAAGACTTCATGTGGGGGAGGAGAGGAGGGTGGTGGTGCTGGGCCTTCAGTGGAGTCCAGGGGCCTGTAAAGAAACCTCAGCCCAGGACTGCCACAAGACCTCAGACTTTCTTGGTAACTAACTTTGTAAGGCTTGGACCAACACAGCTTTGGGAGCAAGTCTTAGCTGAGTGGCCTATGAACTCCTGTGGGGCCATCTCTGTGTAGATGGAATGGACTTATTGATTTGATGCTTTTCTTGACTTCTCAGGACATCACAGCCATGGTCTGCCAGGGTGGGAGGGAGTTTCCTGGGACCCTAACCTGAGCCCAGCTAACACAAATGGCTGTTCCTTATGGTGTGGTCTCTCAGGGGCAACTTCAGCTTTTCTTCTGTGTGTCCCTTGAAAGCAGGACTCAGGGCCTATCATACTTAGCTTCTTTGAAGCCCCTAGCAAGGCATGCATCCCTGTCTGGTCGATAAACGGGAAGGTCTTCGCTTTATCCTGTGTTGTACTTTGGCCCATGGCCCTCCCCTTAGCAGTGTGTGTGAGCAGAATTGAGGTCCGAGTCCCTGACTAGTTCATCAGAAGAATCTAGTTCCTGATCTCTCTGCATGGGATTTTCCTTGAGTTCACAGCCCCAACTCCTGGAATTATGTCTCATATAGACAGTCACCATCAAATAAGTTAAAAAGCTGAACAGTGGGACTTTTATGCCTGGCTGCTTTTTTTCTTGCCCAGCCTAGCACTGTGGCAGGCTCCCAAGGAGTCCTCAGAGAGACCTCTGAGAAGCTGACTCTTGCATTGTCAGAGGAAGTTGGGAATAGAGTGGTACCCATGGCCCTCCCACTGGTGACAGTACATCAGCTCACCCCTCCCCATGAGTAGATCTCACCCATGTGGAGACTCTACATAACTAAAGATGGGTGGTGAGGCTCGTAGAGAGTGACAGGAGGGTAATTAGCTGGGCTTTGGAGGAAGCTGCTGCAGCAGGTGAGACCAGACCTGGCTTGCTGTTGGGGGACTCTTCTCTGCCTTGGGCTTTGAACCAGAGATGACAGATAAATCCTACCCTGGTGCAGGGCCACTGAGCTCCTTGCCCACTCATGTTCTGCTGTCCTCTTAAACATGCAATGTCATCTTCCAAGGCAGAACCGTCAACAAACTCCCTCCTGGCAGCCACTCTGTAGCGACCTCATGCCCTGGGACCTCTGGGCCTAGCTACACATCTTTTTCCCTCCCCCTCCCAATTCTAAAGGGCAGTTTGTAGTCCTTAATATACAGCTTTTTAAAAAATGCCATGAACCACCACACTGTTCTGATCATGACTGTTAATCGTGGCCTCTTTAGCTGTCTCCTGAAGAGGAAGAGAAGCGTCGAATCCGGAGGGAGAGGAACAAGCTGGCTGCAGCCAAGTGTCGGAACCGTCGCCGTGAGCTGACCGAGAAACTGCAGGCGGTAAGGAACTGTGTGTGGTGTGACCCTCCCACTCCTGTCCTTACAAGTGTCACACTGACGATGAGTCAGGAGAGACAGAAAATTCTTTTGAGCACACGGGTCAACATTATGCCAAATTGGAAGTGGGGAATGGGTACTTGAATGTATAAGAATCAGCCAGGTGGTGGTGGCGCATGCCTTTGATGCCGTCACTTGGGAGACAGAGGCAGGCAGATCTCTGTGAGTTTGAGGCCAGCCTGGTCTACAGAGTGAGTTCCGGGACAGGCTCCAACATACATGGTGAAACCCCGTCTTGAAAAACCAAAGCAAAAATAAATAGATAAATAAAAAGAATCAGCCATTGCCACTTGTGTGGGCCTGGAGAGGAGCAGACCACCTTTCTGGGCCAGCATGTTTTCTCACTCAGTATCTGAGTGTGCTCTGTCATCAGACCCACTGGGGCTTCTGGATGATGGTTGATAGTTCTAGGGAGCTAGGGCAGGCACAGCACTACCTGCCTCTCCATGGCTCCTTCTCAGGGGTCCAATTGTCCCCATGCCCAAGGCCAGCAAAGGTGGCCCAGCCTAGTCGAAGCATCCTGGTTTGGGTGGTATGGGTGGACAGGTCACATGTCAGTTGAGTTACATCTTCTTGGAGCTTTCGTCTATCCTTCATTGGCTGGAAGGTTCCCCACCTCTGCCTTGAGCTGAGAGCTTTGTTGTGAGTCACTCTCTCATGCTTCCTAATTGCCCAGACCTGGGGGGGGGCTAGTCCTGCCCCTCCCTCCTCTGAGCTTGACCTGACCAATGTCACGTAACTCCTTTCTGTGTCTGGCCCTAAAGGAAGGGCTGAGCATCTGGTAGAGGAGGTCCCAAGCCAATGCTGACTCCCTGGGACACAGTGCTCTCAAAGGGAGGAGAGATTGTCTGCAGTCCTTACGTGGTGACTGACAAGTAGAGAGATCTAGACTTTAGTCCTTCCAGGTACTTTATCTGCTTTCAGCTGTTTTCTTCATGGCTCAGCCCTAATTTTTAGCATACTCACTAGAATATATACTTGGTGAATCCCATGGTGTCTGTAGTCATGGCTTATGGAGATGTCAGAGTGGGGATGGGGATAGAAGTTCTTCCTTCACAGATAAAATAGACCGGGAGTGATCAGCCTACCACAGATGCTCCCTCAGTGGAGCCTTCCTGCTAACCATTCTCTCCTACTTCAAGGAGCCATGCCTTACCGTGACTCCCTGAGGACACCCCTCAGCCCGGAACAGCCACTCCTCTGAGTCCTTCCTGCTTTCCTCCCCTCTTCCCAGAAGTCTCACACCCTACTACTCCGCCTCCCCCACGTCCTGACCCAGCTACCCAGGCCCCTGAGCCACATCCTCCACAGGAAGCCTCTGACGTTCATCAGACCCTTGAGACAGATGGAAACTTTTTTTTTTCACGCCGGAATATACCGTACTGTGCTTAATGAAGCTCTTACCCGTATCTGTTCATTTGTGGATGGGAATCTGTGTTAGAGAAAAAGCGGGAAGGAGACCGGTGACGCACGCCTCTCTTCTCCCAAGCCATTCCAATGCACAGGCTGCTCTGGCTCTGTGTAAAGGAAGGGAGTGGAGGCTTCTGCTGGTGAGCTTGGCATCGTCACAGGCTCTTACAGGCTGTCAGGTGTCCCTTTATTGGACACACAGTGGAACTAAATGTGTTCCTTGGTGTCTCTGGTCTAGAGATGTGGGCTTTGGAAACTGGAATAAGAAAGGGATGATCCATCAGTGATCAGCTGAGTATTTATCACAAGCCAGGCACTGTTCGGTCCAGTGCTAAGGGTAGAGGTTTATTCATAAGAGTCTGCTCTCATGCAGCATCCAGTTTAGCATCTGTGTCCACTAGTGGACTAAAATGGTACAGTGGGGGACCCAAAGGGAGCATGGGTGTCATGAGGGTGGAATGTAGAGGCATGCAGACTCGAATCAGATGCATTGGGATTTAAGTCTGGCCTCTCTGCTAGCTCTGTAACTTTGGACAGATGAACAAACTTCTCAGAACCTTAGTTTCCTCATCTTCAAAATGGGTTGATGATAACACCTGCTTTCAGAAACTTCTGGAGGGTTGAGTGGGATAATCTGTGAAGTGTACGCTATAGTGAAGTAAGGACTCAATTACAGCAGCTCCAAGTTAATTCACCTGACCCCACGAGCCAACTTTCCTCCTTCAGGAATAAAAGGGAGGGATTGGGAGCCACCGTGTGACTCACCTGGTTCCCCGGCCAGGTGTGGGAGACACTTGTGCTAGGTCACCCGAGGACACTGTAAATCTCCCTTTCATATCTAGATTAAGACCATCCGTCAAGTCAACCTGTAGGCTTCTGTCCCTCACACCCTTCTTTCCCCCTCATAGGAGACAGAGGAGCTGGAAGAGGAGAAATCTGGTCTGCAGAAAGAGATCGCTGAGCTGCAGAAGGAGAAGGAAAAGCTGGAGTTCATGTTGGTGGCCCATGGCCCTGTGTGTAAAATCAGCCCTGAGGAGCGCCGATCGCCTCCAACCACCGGGCTGCAGCCCCTCCGTGGTACAGGCGCTGTGGTGGTGAAGCAAGAGCCTCTGGAAGAGGACAGCCCCTCTTCCTCAGTGGTAGGGATGGACAAGACCCAACGCTCTGTCATCAAACCCATCAGCATTGCTGGGGGTGGTTTCTATGGGGAAGAGCCTCTGCACACCCCCATCGTGGTGACCTCCACACCTGCCATCACTCCAGGCACTTCAAACCTTGTCTTCACCTACCCCAGTGTCCTGGAGCAGGAGTCGCCTGCGTCACCCTCGGAGTCCTGCTCCAAGGCTCATCGCAGAAGCAGTAGCAGTGGTGACCAGTCGTCAGACTCCTTGAACTCCCCCACACTGCTGGCCCTGTAACCCTGTGCAACTCTGGTCAGCTCTGGAGGAGTCATCAGCATTGTCACCCTTCCCGGGGACCAGTACCTTTAGCACTCCAGGGCCATGAGGGCAGAAGGGGGACCTTGGCTCTGGGGACCCAGTGGGACTTAGTGGTGAGGTCCTGGTTGATGTCTTGGAAGCCCCGGGAATCCCTTCCCTCATTCATCTTGCAAGCAATTCCTCTTTCTTGAGAAGCCGAGGAGAACTTGGCTTTGGTGGACCCTGACGTCTGTCCTGCTTCTGAAGCTCCTGGAGCTGGCCTGGATGGTTCCTGTCCCGTTGTTACACCGTTGTCTCTGGAGTGATGGTGTCCTCTCCTGCCCCACCACGCATGCTCAGTGCCTTTTGGGTTCCCCTCCTTCCTGCAGTCTCAGTGTCGCTCCCATGACATTTCATCTGGGTGGTCCCGGTATTAAAACGCTTTTATGTCTGGAGCTAGGGGAGCAGGTGACTCTTCCCCTGGGGTGGACATGTCCCGAAGGGGCAGTCAAAGTGCAATATTATTGAAACTTCCCTCCCACGCACCCCAGCGCTGCCATCACAGACCACCAGCCGGCTCCCTGAGTTCTGCAGGTGAGGCTGTCAACACTGGGGTACACCGAGGACCTTTCCTCCCAGCCTTGAAGATGCCCAGCTCTTCCAGGATTGGCCTGGCCAGAAGACAGGGTGTAAGTGGGACAACCAGGGCACAGGTTGGGTTTGCCAAATGCCAAACTACCAAGCCAGGATTAGTGCCAACGAAGCCACGTGACTGTCCTAGTGACCCTCCTTCACCTGATATCTTGAGCAGAGCCTCTCTTGTAATTACTGCCTCACTATTCTGCCCCTGGACCCTTCTCTCCAGACCAGGAAGGTACCCCTTCCTAGGAAACACACAGCACTCCAAAGCCCTGCTGAGTCCTGCCCTTCCCTAACTCTCAGGGTGACAGGGCCCATAGATATTCAGTGAGTGTGGGCCTGGCCCCTCCCCCATTTTGAACAAATGGTTTCTCTTCAGACCTCAGGTGGAAGGACCTGGGGACCTGCTGGGCTGTGCTAAGAATGGTTTAGGCCACAGTGTCAGCCGGGGTACCTAGTACCTAGCCTTTCCTGGCTGCTCTCCTATTAGTGAGGTGCAGGACCCCTGCCCCTCCCTGCCCTCAGTGGTCTCTGTCATTGATGAGTGGATGCCTTTCCATGGCCCACTCCGGAGTGACCTCCTGACCCAGCAGGCTATTTGGGAGTCATTGGTCTCAGCTAGTCTTGCTAGGGCTTAGGATATGTATGCTATTGCTATGGATGCTAGTACGTGTTCCTTTCCACTGCCGGATGAATGAACCATCCTTCTCACCGGCGTCCTGGTCTCCCCAAGGGCACACTCCTGCCCCCCATCCCTTTCTGCCCACTGCATGCCAGCACAAGTGTGGCAAGTGATGTCGGGTCAGAACTGTCTCTAGTGCTAGTGATCTGATTTAGTGTTTCCACTCTAAACCAAGCCCAGTGGTGAAAATATGAATTTTGAGAGGGAAGGGACAACTTCACAGTCTTGTGCCTGTCTCAGCCCAAGTCCACATGTGCTGGCCATGATTTAATCCCATGACCCACTGGCATGCATGCAGAATACACAGGATTCAGGAGCCACGTGGGAAGCCTGCAGAACTGAAAGGGACAGGGGCAGGGTTGACTAGGTAGAGAGGGAGAGGAGAGGAGAAAGGACTTTTGTTCAGAATAATTTCCATATGCTTGTTCCATAGGGCCCTGGCTCTAACTCTGCCATTCTGGCCTCCCAGAGCCCCTGGGAGGGGTGCTCCTGAGGAGACAGAGCAGGTGGCTTCCTGGCCTCAGAGTCCTAGAAACAGAAGGCAGCCAGGAGTAGCAGGAGTTAGGCAGAGCCCTGGGGTGATCTCAGTTAAGCATTTATCATCTCAAGCCAAGTGGAGCTCTTTCCCTCCTGGTACCCATGGGTGTTTCTGAAAGAAGCTGCTTTTATTCTGTTATTTCCCAAAGCCCCTTCCTGCCATACTCTCCATGGCATGGATCCCAATACAGGTCACAGGCCTGTGCCTTTAGTGCCCTAGTTGGTCACTCCTGAGACCCCCAAGTCTGGCTCTCAGTTCAGATTTCAAGCTGTGTTGGCATCAGCCTAGAAGGCACAGCCAGCTAACCTGAGCCTCAGAGGCCTCTGAGGTCATTTTCCCTTCTGAGCTGCTTACTTGGTCCTACAAGATCTCATGGCTTTTCCAAAGACAGAGGTTTCTAGGGGGGAAAGCTGAATATTCACACCCAAACTGTGGGTGTAGCCTCAGTTTGCTTCCTTTTGGCTCTCTCACCTGCATGTCACTCACACATCTGCCTGTGTCCCCAGGTCAGGTGCCTGGCTTGCTGTCCTGTCTCTAGTTCAGGGAAAAGATGCAGTGGGGGGGGCGGGGGAGGGCTGTTCTCTCTGTGTGTCCTCGGCTGGTGTGGGCTTTGGCATAGGACAGGCACTCCTTAATCAGCTAGCATGAAACACAGCCCTCATGGCCTCCCAGCCTCTGTGAGGACAATCCTCCCTCTGTCTAGCTGTTTAGGGACAGCTGTGACACAGGAAAGAGGAGAGTCCAGGTGAGGGGAGCTAATACCAAGCAGCCGGTTTCCTGGGGGAGATGTTTTTTGGAAGTCAGACTGTGGTTGTCACAGGATAGTGTACCCGTGGTGGCCAGTCATGGGAGCATTTCAAAGCTAACAGTAAGCAGAGCTTGGCACTTCCTCAGGCTTTGGGGGACAGAGCCCAGGTCTGCTTGCACTTGACTCCAGGTGTGGAAGATGGATAGGCCATGTGAAGTGTCTGGATTCATTTCTCCCCATTTCCCTGAGAGAGCAGACGTGTTCTTGCAGTATCACTGTTTATCTTTCCCAGTGACACCCTTCCCTGAGCAGATGTCCATGTGGCCACTTTAGGGAGGAATGGAATAAGCACCTACTATGTGCCAGGCACTATGAGGCACTTTAATATTTATCCTCTTTCAAGATGGAACTAAGGGATCAGCCCCTTCTGGAAGGTCCCAAGTAATTGTTAAACCCAGGCTCCTCCCCCTCGGCCTCCTCCCACCTGGCCCGTGCTCCTCCACAGGCAACCCGAGTTCTCATAGAATTTGTGGACCAATAGGATATGTAGTGTGTATGACTTTCTTTTTTAAATGTAGGTGAAGGGGTCTTGCTGCATTCTGCTTTCGTCATCTTGACACTCTTCTTCAGGCCAGCATCTCACTATTTATTGACGGGGCATGTGAGTGTATGTTGGTGTGTGTGTTCACATTCGTATCCCCATGCCCTCACGCGTGTGAGCGTGTGTGTGCTTGTATCCTCCTGCTTTTTTTTTTTTTTTTCCTTTAAAGGGAACCAATCAACCCACTGCTAAGTTGGTGTCTTCTCGCTTCTAGTGTTTTGGCCTGGCCATGCCTCACCACCAAACGTTGGTGATGACCCAGTACTAACAACGTGTTCAGGAGGAGCTGGGTCAAATTTTGACAGAGGGTATGGGAAGGGAAAGGGGAGAAGAAATTGACATTTATTTTATTATTTATTTTAAATGTTTACATCTTCTTTGTGTTGTTTCAAGCCTGAATAGGAACAGATAGCATTAAAGTACCTTCCCCCGCCCCCTCCCTTTTCTGACTTAGGATAATGATGCTCTCTTTTGTTTGTTTGTTTGTTTCTAAAGTGACTTGTGGACTTGTGCTGTATAAACTGTATTAAAAGGTTCTGTTTTTAAAGATTGATTGTCATTCCTCTGGGGACAGTGGCTGCTAAGAAATCTGCATTGTAAGAGAACACAATGAAAAGACCCTGGCCCTGTCTCTCAAAACTTAACTTTCTCTGTATGATTAAAACAAATATTCCATTTATTTTACTTTGTGGTTACTTGATTTCGAGGGGAAAATTTTCAACTTTGTATAAAGACTAGGTATCAGGGTGTCTTTTGCAGTGGGAGGTGTATATATCGTATTTTGGTATATAGTGGAAACTCAAGCTTTGTGCATCTGTATTTGGGACGTGTCAATGACGTGAAGTGAAATCTGCTATTAAGACCCTGGAGGCAAATGAGGTTTTATGGCTCTGTGGGGAATTTTAATGACCTTTCTGGACACCTTTTGTCCCCTGTTTTTAAAGTGATGGTGAAATGGCCCTATTGGAGGGTCTCTCTAGTCGAACTCTCTGTGGCAGGACCGTATGCTCAAAAATCTTTGTATAGTTTTAAAAATTGAGGAGTATCCCTGCTCAGAAGCATCTCTGGTGGTGTGTGTTGTGTTGTTCTGTGTACTGTACGTGACACAAGCCTACAGTGTTTGCACTAAGAAAAGCTTGTTGGGAGAAGCTTGCTGCTATGGAGGAAAGAACATATTAAAACTTATTTTCCCTTGGGGTTTATTTTTGTTTTATGTTTTTGTCATTGTTGTTAGCTTTCCCACTTTCCATTGAGTAGCATTTTGTAGAATAAAATGAATTAAGATTAAAGAGCCTGTCGTGGTTGCTTTTATTTTATTTTATTTTTTCCATTTTCCCCATCTGTGGTATGGATTCCCCTTTTGTTCTATTTCCCTCTGCCTTTGGCAGAGGATGAAGTTGGGGGGAAGGGGCTCACCTCAACCTCCAGTTGCAGAGAGAGTATCTCTTGCCCCTTCCCATCCTGTGTCAGGCCCCAGTTCTCAGCCAGCTGACAACTCCAGCCAACATATGATCCAGCAACAGCTCAGGATATTTTATTGGAACAGGTTCACTCTGGAAGCCCAAAATCTTCAGACTGAAGGCGGGAAGGAGCCCTGAAAAGCAAGGCATGCAAGTACATGGAGTGTGGCATCTCTAGACTTCTTTGGAAAGTCACAGGTTGTCAGGTATGGAGTGTGCAGCAGGGACAGTGCATCCCTGTTATTCTGTAGACTAGGAAACCCAAGTGACCAAGGAGCATCTTCCAATGTGTTCCCTCCCTCCTCTCCATCTCAGTGGTCCTGGAGGCAAACCTATCATTAGTTAATGCCTGAAGTGCACGACAATGGGATATTTACTATTTATTAGTAAAATAGCCCTGAAAATGATGCCACTTGCCCTAGTGGGGCTCAGGCAATCTCAGCCTCATTCTTTGGAGGACCAAGGAGATCTGGACTTGGGGTCAGAGACACCCTGAATCCTATGCTTGCCTCTAGTAACTGGTGAAGAAAGCCATGGAACCTCTCTCTGAGCCTCAGTTTCCTTCCTGTAGAGGCAGAGGGGCAATGGAAGTCAGGAAGAAATACCTACATAAGAGGGCTTAGACAAGATAACATCAGCCCCAACACTTCCTTTGCAGTGGGCCCATGGTGTAGAGAAACAAGGCTGCCTAGAAGTCTCACTATGGGGCTTCTTTGTGACCTCTTTGGCCTGGATGGTCAGGGAAACAAAATCAGACAGAGCCTGGAGTGTTTCAATGATATCTGTACTTTGTTGAGTAACTCATGATTACTTGTGTGGTTAAGTATGAAGGAAACAGCTGCCCAGGAAACACTATCCACACAGAGCCACTGCGATGATGTTTCTGAGCTTGCCTCCCCCTCATGCCTGGGTACCTCCATATAGTCTCCACCTTGCAG